TCATAAGAAAAATCCTCGATTTCTATGAAGATCTTTCGTAGCTACCCTGAGAGCAGATTCGCTTCGATCTCATTCGCAGCTCAAAGTATTGTAGCCTGCGAACACAGGCGTATTTCCGGCTGTCACTTGGTTCCGCCGAAAAATAACGTCTGCGAACCCGAGCCGGAAAACGATTTCTGTGACGTAGGAATTCTAAGCCAATCACAGTTTAGTTGAACCCCAGAACTACCGCGTGAGGTATTCGCTCTGAGGATCACTCAAGTTTCATTCTATCATGGAATCTGATTGGCCAAGGAGAAACAAAAGTCATTACGTCACAGAAATCGTTTCCTGACTCAGGTTCGCAGATGTTATTTTTCGGCGGAACCAAGTGACAGCCGGAAATACGTCTGCGTTTGCAGGCTAGCATGCAACCCGAAGCATGCACCAACTTCTACTAAGTGTATTATGCCATTCGCCAGGAAAGACTAATTGCAGGAGATCAGAAATACTTTAATGCGCGGTTTTCTTCATCTTTTCCACTTGATCGTGACGTAACAGCCCACAAGACCTGTCATTTTGTCTTTTGCATGTTGTTATGGGTAAAAGTCAAAAAGTTTTGATTTTGCAACTGAATGGTTAGACAGCTTATGACTATAGAATCTGTAAGTACGTACCCCAGAATATCTAATTGTTGAGAAATCCAAATTATTGCTGATTAAAATGCTTGGTCCAATTTGATCATTACTTCTCCCATGCAATTTTAAATCCTTTACCTGAATGTGCATAATTTAACCAAGTTTCTGTTCAGTTCTGGCTGAAAAGAACATTCTATATCATAGCATGTGACGTGCCAACTTTCACAATTCTACATTCAGTGAAAAAGCCATCCCCTTCTTTTCTCTGTTTAGCATCATTCGACCGACCCAAATTTTTGGCATAGTTTTTTTAAAAAAAGTAATGACTTAGTTAAACCATTTTTCACTTTCATTAAATACTTTTAATCTGAAAAATGAGCATAGTAACAGTATAGAGAAAAACAGGAACAAAAACAGGAGCATTTTTTTTACAGTATATTGCTAAATTTTGCAACAACATCAACCAACGTTTCCGCCATATTGATTTCGGGGTTCATGTCTTGTTGTTTCCAGGCTGCACAGCAATGATGCTGGGGTACCAGACCTCCTATTTAGAGAGTTCTTCGTCTTCTGTTTTTTTTTTCTGACTGACCAACCCAATATCAGGAAACGTATTCGACATGAAGCAAAAAAAGGGGATGCCTAAGGTCCAAACACATTTGTAATTTTTGGCAATTATTGCTAAATTATATGATGGCTGTGCACTATTGCAGAAGTAGAATCTTGTTCTACTTCTGCAATAATGCAGTCTAAACTCTTGAAAGCCTTCAGCTATATAGTTGATGTGTAATTTGTATTGTAGTTTAAATTCTTTTTTGGTTTGAAATTTAAGAAACTGGTTTTGAATTTTGCTAAGTTAAACTTCTTGTTGTGACTGGACATTCAAGATAGTGACAGTAACTTGCAGAGAGCTGATTGATAGTAGCAAATCACCAGTGGAACATTACCATAAATGAGTTCTAATCACACTGCTCATAATTACATTCTTATAGCTTAGAGATGACTATTTTATGACAAGTGGAGACAAAATTAGATATTTCTTTGAAGAAGGAGCTTTCAATGATAAAGGTAAGATCACCAACAGTTCCATGTATTGTGGCGTTATAATACTGGTAATATCTGTGTGTCTTTGAGTGTCCACACAGAGCAGGGTTGTTCCCAGACAAAACTCATGATCACCATTCCCATGAACAAACTGGTTTAATTCTGTGATGTTGACTTAGCAAGTTACACACCTTCAATTCTTCTTAACATTTACAGCTTGTGATGAATGTTTCCCTCTCTCACATACCTGTATATGCTCACACTCCATGCAGTTCTAGAATTTTTTCTACATTGACTGAAACCATAACCAAAAATGTTCTGAAATGGATTTTCACATCTTTACTTTGTTTATTTTCGTAGGTGAACTTATCGTGAAAAAACATAATGCCATCAACAAAGTTGGTCATGGTAAGATTATTTTAGCAATGTTAAACATGTGCCATCTGATTTGATTTTCCATTTATTTAGCAATAATTTGTAGTGCTTGTCTCCAGAAAACTGACCTCATATAGCCTTTAACACTCATAAATCTCACTTTCAGAACTCACCTTTCCTTCCCAAAGAACCCTCCAACAGACTAGCGTTCCATTCAGGGGGTAGCAATACTACTTGTTACTTCATACTAAGGATTAGCCGAGCAGTATGGATCACCAACACAGTCTGCCTTTTAGCTCATTTTCTAAGGTTATTCTTTTACAAGATGCTTATAAATTGAAATTCTGTATTCCTCAAAAATGTGGTTTCCTTTTTCCTATCATCAGCTGATATTATTTTAAATCATTTTCCCCCTATTTCTTCTCCCCCTCCCATTTTTCCTTTCTAAATTTTCATTTATTTACTTAATATTAATTTTATTTTATTGTTTGTTTACTTAGTCGTTTGTTTATTGATTGCTTATCAGCACTTCACGCTTTAAATCCAGTGTTTAAAAAAGTCACATTCAACAAGAGAATAGAGGTAACTAAAGAATGGGTCATTTTAATTTGTAAATTTTAATTTCTCTTTAACAACTGCCTTGCGAAGTGGAGGTTGGGTGCCCGAGGCATCCAGGAGCTTCCACTATTGGCAGCAGGCTCCTAGATGGAGAGTGCTGAGTCCCATGGCTGGTAAATCCTGGCAACTTAGCCATGAGCCCCCACGCGGATGGGAGAAAGCGGGCACCCATCACACTGATAAAACAGTGGAAAGAGAAGGGAGGGACGAGGGGAGGGGAAACAACCCCTATGCGGAGTCCCTGCGCTTGAGACTCAGACGCTCACGGAAAAATGCTGACCATGTTAAACTACTTGAACTCCTTGTGGCACAAGAACACATGGAATCCTGGCCAATGCACAGATCTAAATATCACTGACCGCAAAGGCAAGACTTGCACTCCGCTTTGTTAACTATTAGTGCATTTAACTGCATTGAAAGTGAATGCTGTCAATTTGATTGAGTGATATTTACCTATTTTATCCTGTTGTGTAATCAGTGAGTTTATCTTTGTGTCAGGCTATCGTCAAGTCAATTGGATTTAAACATCCAGTTGTCCCACAGAGTATGTATATTTTTAAGGTAAGTATCTCGGGACTTTACTTAGTCTATAGGTGTAACATATGTATGTAAATGATTAATATAAAACTGTTATTTATAATAATTACTGTTTTATATATTATTGTTCAATTATTGAACTGTAGGAGACAGACTCTGTGGGAGACAGACTTGTAGACTCTATTGCCATCTAATACTTGGATGTTGATTTCTTTATGTTTCCTCAGAATCACTATTATCAAAGCAGTCTTCTTTGTCTGAATAATTCTTTACCATTGTAATTCGCCATTTTTAAGAAGATGTGCTCTTTATAATTGTGTGTTTTCCACAATAAGACTTTTTATTATAAATTATTGTTTGGCGATTGCAAAACAATCTGAGGACATGAACAGGTTTGTTATCCATCAGAATTTTCAGGCCGTTGTGTTATTTACCAATTGAAACTTTTTGTTACTTATTTCATTTCTTCTAATAAATTACTTTAAATTTTCTTTTTGTTTGATTGAATTTCTCAGCAACCAGGAATTGGTGGAGAAGGTAGGAACTGACTTTCTTGCTCATTAACAACTAGATTTTGAGTTCAAGATTTCTATGAGATGATAGAACTTCATGTTTTATCAAAATTGTGTACAGATTAAATTGTTGTTTGAACCTTGCAGCTGTTTATATGAGCTCAGCAGTTCACTGAACAATTTTGATGTTTTAAAGTCTCATAACGGTCAATTTCCTTTTTTTTTAGAGTTTAAGGTAATTGAATCTTCCAGTAATATTTCAGATTACAGTTTCCTCTAAAACATCAGAAAAACAACAAAACATCGCCATTCTACAGACAACCCCTCAGGCACCACACACTTATGGATAGCCTGACCAATCAGATTGTTCCATCTTCATTAGTATATTGGTAGAAGTTTAGTCGTTAATATTAGGTAGATATTAAAATGCCAGCTTTCAATGAAAGCAGCTGCTGCAGCAGTTTTTTAGTCTTAAACACAGATTGAAACCTCACAATAAGCTGTACATCAAATAATGTTAATTAAATAGAGAAAGTCAGTTTTTAATTTCATGGTCAAGATTCTTACTATAACCACCATACTTCTGACCAGTGATTTCATGCTACAGAACCCAAAGTATACGGATGAGATACCTACTTCGATCTACTGGATAATCATTGGAACATAGCCAATGATATTGCATGCCAGGGTGAATTTTGAACTCAGTGGTAAGACAAGGATTAACATAGTCCAGCTTTAAGGTATTTTCCTTTTTCTTTGATATATTTCTTTTAACAGTCTTTCCTCATCGAGACTCCACCTTTCTGTATACGGAGCCACCCAGTGCCTTGGGTTTATGGATACCGCTGGAAGATTGCACTCTGGAAAATGGCTGCCTACAGTTTGTTCCCAAATCTCATAATGGTGAGAGTGATTTCAGGCGATTTCTCAACTTAATCCCTAAATTAAACAGACAGCACGCTCAATATCAGCACACTCTCACACCTTCATAGTGATTCTCAAGCCTGCCAGTTGAGAACTTATATCATACCTCTGGGGCAATTTCTATTGCTTACTTGGAAAACGTTGAGCTATAGACTACAGCCTTAACTGACCCAATTGTCAACTCCAACCAGTCCAAGGAAAGAAAAGTGCAGGTAAGCTGGTTATATGTGCGTGGAGACCTTGGACCTGAGAATCTTAAGAACCTCTTTCCAAATCTTCAGAACATGCTTAGAAGTCACATGCTCAGATATCATGTCTAATCATCCTCAAAAATCCTGGGACATACAGGTTAAAAATCTCATGCCTACAGTAAAATGAATCAGAAAAATTTGGCAAATATACAGCCCAGAATTTGTTTTTGACGGAGAGGGAAGTTTGTTAAGGAATCACTTAATTGTGCAGTATCACTTTGAGCATGTGCCTACTTAAAGGGGGCAAAACTTTTATATCCTTGTGTCACTTGCAATTTTTAAGTAAAAAATGTCTTTTGCATTATTTTGTCAGATGCATTAAAGCGTCGTTTTATATGTAACCCTGAGCCTGACAGTACCCCAACCGTTTTTAAAGGACCTAAAGAAGAATTTGATGACAAGGACTTCATTCCACAGTTTACAAAAAAAGGTTAGTCATTGACACAATACTAATGTAATATGTAGAAAGCAAGCAGTCCATGCAGACTTATTTTTGAGCAAGAAGACAAAGACCTAAGTAAGCAATTTCTGTCAGATATATTTATCATCCCAGAAAGGGACACTATCACAATGATTTTGCTGCACTTTTGGTCAAAGCAGTGCTTAAATTTTAATGCCGCACAGTTTGCTGCACATTTCTCTAACCAGATGTAGCAGCCTGTGATGGACTAGTATCCCATCCTGAGCTGAAGCAATACTTCTACTTAGTTCTTTCATGCTATAGAAATTGGTTACAAAGTTTATTAAGTGGTAGTCTGATAAAGCATGTTATATACATGGTACAGTGTATACCTGCCAATTCTCATGCCTACATGTACATACCAATTCCTTGTACCTTGCTGAAAACTTTATGCTATATTTGGGAACTTAACTGATTCTTTCAAAGAAAAGTACAGTTCCCCGATTCTCTGATTTTCAAGAGAAAGTGCTGAGAATACTTTTTGTTAGTTACGTTTGATCATGTCTGGTGAAACACATCTTGGGCCTGGGACAAGGAAAAGTCTTCAGAAATCTTCAGAAGTCTTGGGATATGGTTGGGTAATACTCAAAATTATTATATGGCTGTGTCTCACAAGGACTGGGAACTACCGAATTCACAAATTTGATTGGCTGAAATCG